CTCTGCTTTCGCTGACCAAACTCACTGTCTCAAAAAGATTTGCTGTTTGCCGGGGCCTTTAGTCTGGGATGCTTTTGTCAAGCCCTTAGACCATCCCCTCCTGTCCTCCACGTGGACACCAGTGACACAGCCAAAGGAGTGTCTCGTGCATGACCACATCGCTCTGGAGCCTAGCACAGGTGGTGTGTCCTTATATTCTGGCTGGTGAAGGAGTACATTTATCCTGTGGACTGACAGATTCTATCAGACATAAAGAGAAATAAGGCTATAATATATATGTATATATATGTGTGTGTGTATATGTAGAGAGAAAACATTATATATGTATATATATAAATGGTGTTTCATGTACTGGGTTTCTGGTACATGATTAGAGTGTAGAATCAGAAGCTGCTATGTGGTTTTGACAACATCAGGCTTGGAGATTTTATTTTCAGTTTGCACAGCCCTTACCAAACCTTAACAGAAATCTGTAACATGTGGATGTTTCTGCATATTTTGCAGTTCAAAATGCACCGACTAAGCTACTCTATTTGTAAGAATTGCTTACGTGTTCTCTACGTCCAGAGAAAAAACATGATCAAATAAATTAAACTAAGAATCCTTTACAATAAATAAAACAAACCCCAGCTGGTTTTCTGTTCGGCTGGTTGGTTGCTTTTTTTCTCCCAGAGAAGTGATTCCTTGACTCTGAGCAAATCTCTTATGTTCTGTGTCAGGAATTTATTTGTTCTAAAATGTAAGAGCTGGAAATACACTATTGAAGGTTAAAATCAGTGCATTTGAAGCACAAATAGCTTGCCTGTCATATCATCATATTTGCTAGCTGACTGGACATAAAACTTCAGCCTCTTGACTTTGCTATCTCATTACATAGTTTTCTTTACTGTCAGTTCTGATAGGGCTTATTATTTCCAAATCTCATTTTTGTTAGCAGAACAAGAGAAGTGATAGCAAGAAATGTAAATGCTAAAATATTATATGAGTTCAGCAGTTATGTCTGCCTGTGACAAATTTCTCTGCCTTTTTGTTAAATACTTACTAGTGCTGACTATAATGATTTTTGTAAAATAAAGATATATTACTTGATGTGGTTCTGTGTAGGTTTGTGGTTTTTTCCCCCCACGGGAGGTGGATGAATTTAAATTGGAGTATTTTCTTCTTGTCTAAATCTCTTTACCCATGTGAAAAGTGGATATATATTTGATATATAAATATTGTTATGTAATATTTTTTTTAGATTGTGTAGTCTAATGTGTTCTACATTATATCTTTTATGTGAAAAGGTATGATCTCTTATTCTGGATAAATAAAGAATTAAATAAAATGTTGAAAGACATACCAGCTATCTTACTGTGTAGCTTGAAACTGAGACAGAACTTTGTGTTGGCTTTCCATATCAGAACTTTTGCTTCTCTTAGTCAGGGGCAGTTGTTGGTGCTTTTAACTAACAAGTCTGCACTTGATTTATTTGTAGTGTGATCAGAACAGCTGCTGTAAAGAATTATATTTTTTTTCAGGAAGTAAGCTGTAAAGCTACTATGAAGCAAAAAAGAAAACATTCTAGATACTTCCCTATACTTCTTTGTAGTATGGATATAAAAAGTTGAATTTGTCTTTTGTTTTCAATTGCAGACAAAGAGTGCACAAATGTGACCTAAAATATTCTGCTTGTCTCTTCAGTTATGAGATTTTTTTAGGAAAAAAAAAGGTATCCTATTTAAATGAGCATCAGGATTTGCTTTTGTTTCAGACATCACCAACTTGGAGAGCCAAAAAAGCTACAAATTCAAAACTTCTCCTGCCTAGGAAGCTGATACTTTATGAGCCACTTCATTTCATGAGCCAATTACATTGTGTTTCAATTTCCAAATACTGATGTGGACAAGGGAAGAGCTGTAGATGTCATTTATCTGGACTTCTTTAAAACCTTTGACATGGACCCCCCATATCCTTCTTGCTAAGTTGGAGAGAGAGGGATTTGATGGGTGGACTGTTAGCTGGATAAGAAATTTATGGCATCCAGAGGATAGTGGTCAACAACTCAGAGTCCCAATGGACATCAGTGACAAGCGGTATCCCTCACAGGTCCATATTGGAACCAGTGTTATTTAATATCTTCATTAATGACACAGATGAAGGAATTGAGTGCACTCTCAGCAAGTTTGCAGATGACACCAAGCTGAGTGGTGAGGCAGGTGAAGGACAGGATGGCATCCAAAGGGACCTGGATAGGCTTGAGAAGTGGGCCCATGGGAATCTTGTGATGTTCAACAAGACCAAGTTCAGGGCACTGCACCTGTGTTGGGGCAGCTCCTGGTATCAGCACAGGTTGAGGATGAACAGATTGAGAGCAGTCCTGCTGAGAAGGACTTGGGAATGCTGATGGATGAGAGGCTGGACATGAGCTGGCCATGTGCACTTGCAGCCCAGAAAGCCAATTGTGTCCTGGGCTGCATCAAAAGCAGAGTGGGTAGCAGGGAAAGGGAGGAGCCCTTCTACTCTGCTCTGGTGAGACCTCACCTGGAACAGTCTGGGGTCTACCTCTGGGGTCCTCAGCAGAGGAAGGACTTTGACCTGTTCAAGTGAGTCCAGAGGAGACCACCAAGGTGATTAGAGGGATGGAGCACTTCTCCTGTGAAGACAGAGAGAATTCGGATTGTCCAGCCTGGAGAAGGGAAGGATCCCAGGTCACCTGATTGTGGCCTTCCAGTACGTGAAAGGATCCTACAAGAAAGCTGGAGAGGGACTTTTTACAAGGGCACGTAAGGGGGGCATGGCTTTATAAGATGGGGGGAATGGTTTCAAACTGAAAAAGAGTAGGTTTAGATTAGATATTGGGAAGAAATTCTTTACTCTGAGGGTGGTGAGGCACTGGAACAGGTTGCCCAGAGTCCCATCCCTGGAAGTGCTCATGGTCAGGTTGGATGGGGGTTTTGAGCAACCTGGTCTAATGAAAGGCGTCTCTGCCCACGGCAGAAGTGGTTAGATGATCTTTAAGATCCCTTCCAACCCAAACCAGTCTTGGATTCTACGATATGATTAATTTCTCCTGCCTGTTCAGGTCTCTCTGGATGGCAGTGTAATGACAGTTCCCCCAGCTTGGAGTCATGCCCAAACCTGAAAATACTGCTCTCCATCACCCCCTCTATGTTCTTGATAAAGGTGCTCGTTGCAACTGGTCCCAGGAGAGACCCTGTAGTACTCCTCCTATTATGGGCCTCCAGGCAGAGTTCAAGTGTGACTCATTAACCCCTACCTGCTGCACTCAACCACCTAACCAGTGTTTTACCCATAAAGTTGTCCACCCATGCTGGACCATAACATTCCAGTTTGAGTACATGAATATTGTGGGAGACAAGTGATAAACCTTGCTGAAGTCAAGGTTCCACTGGTGTCCCCTCCTACACAGATCTATCCATTTGTCATGGAAAGCAATCAGGTTGCTCAGGCATCACTGACTGTTGGCAAATCCAGTACTGGCTGCTCCTCCTCATCTTCTCGTCCATGTGCTCAGAAATGTGTTCCAAGGGTCCTTGTGCTACAACCTTTACAAAGACCAAAGCAAGGCTGAGTTTGTCGAAGATGGGATCTATCATTAAGGGCTTTGGCTCTTTCATTGTATTCAGCAGGCAAACACCTTCAAAGGTTTCACACTGCTTCCCTCTTTCCAGGTCTCTTGTATATATGGGACTTGATAAATCTCTAAAGTATCTTGGATATGTTTTCTAAATCATGTTTTTAGGAGCAATTAGAAATATTTCAGACCTTTTGCATCTAACTATATCTCACTCCTTCTCCAACCATAAAAAGGTCATATTATGCTTTTTTTGGTCACTTAAGTTGTTTCTATTGTTTCTCCTTGAGAAGGTCAAATCCTCCTGATCATTAATACATTCATATTAACAACATGGAAAGAAGATGTAAAATAAGAGTAGGAGAAATTAAAAGAAGTTTTTTTTCTCTGCTGGTCTGCAGGACAACAGAATAGTTTATTACGCCTTTCACCAAAATACAAATAAATCAGAACCAAGAATGAAAATTTTAACTAATCTTTTCTTGCCTTCATGGCTTAATGAATGTACCTGGATATGTTTCAAGCAGCTCAGTGGAGGTTGTTGGAAATTGAGATCAAGGACAGAGTCAGACAAGCAGGGATGTGGACAGCATACATCTATATACACAAAATCCAAAAGCATAGCCTCCTTTCTTGTCCCAGCCTACTCCATTTGCCTAATGTAGTAACATTCAAAGAAACAGGCATTCAAGAGACTAGTAACAGAGAAACACGCAGGCATGTCAGTGCTTTCCAAACTAGCAGCAAGAAGTGAATATAAGGGACAAAACTCCCCATGTTTCAGAGGAAGGAAACTGCTCAGCAGAATCCCTTATCTCTTTTCGTAAAGGCAGAGATGTTGAGTTTGGAAGGCAAACCCTGTGGCAAATCATCTTTTACTCCCAGTGCAGCATCAGAAATCCTGAGGTGGAGCTCTGTGTGCTCTAAAACAGTACGAGGATGGGGTAGCAAAACTCTGCGGTTTAATGTGGTGGTAAAACACTGAAGGTCTCACCTCTGAGTCCAGAGGAGAGCAAGGAAGGGTTTAGAGCACAAGTCTTCTGAGGGGCAGCTGAGGGAGCGGGAGTTGTTTCGCCTGGAGACAGGGAGGTTCAGTGTGTACCTTTCACTCACTGCAACCACGTGAAAGGAGGTGGGGGTCGGCCTCTTCTCCGGGGCAACCAGCGACGCCCTCAAGCTGTGCCAGGGCGGTCTTAGTGCGGGCAGTAGGAGGAATTTCATCGCGGAAAGGACGGCCGGACCGCGGAACGGGCTGCCCGGGCAGGCGGTGTCCGGGAGAGGAGCCCTGAGGGCGCTGCCGCCAGGGGGCAGCGCGGCGCCGCCCGCCCGGGCTGTGAGGCGGCACCGCCCCCGCCCGCCCCCGCCGGCGGCCGTGGCGGAAGCGCGGGCAGCGCCGGTGCCGCGGAGCGGGCGGGCGGCGGGCATGGCGGACGGGGCGCGCTCGCTGCGCGGCGGCGGCGGCGGCGGAGGCAGCCCGGCCTCCAGCCCGGTGCTGGGCGGGCGGGGCCGCGCCGCGGCGGGGGGCGGCAGCCCGCCGGGCCACGCGTTCCGCAGGGTGACCCTGACCAAGCCCACCTTCTGCCACTACTGCACCGACTTCATCTGGGGGCTGGCCGGCTACCAGTGCGAGGGTAAGGGGCTGCCGGGGCGCCGCGGGGGCCGGGCGGGACCGGCTGGGCACCCGTCCGGGGCAAGGTGTGGGGGGGAGGAAAAAGAAATTGCTAAAAATACTGCCGGTGGAAACTCTAATAATAACATCTAACAACGGACTGTATAACACTAAAGCATAATAACAAAGCATAGTAATAAAACCGATCCTAAAATATAATACTAAAATGCAGTGCTGAAACGCAATACTGAAATACGTTAATGAAATATAATGCTAAAATACAGCACAAAATATGATATTAAAAACAGTACATTCTACACAATTTTTTTTAACAGTAGTAATAAATATTTTAATACTAGTAGTAGTAAAGCAGAGAAGTCAAGTCTGGAACCAACAACAATGCTGAAAATTCTACTCCTGTTAACAAGTGATAAGAATAAATTCTGACAATGGTGAGTCTAACGATAATAATTTTAATAATTATAATACCTAATCACAACCCTGGTAATGATAATAATAAAAATTCTAACAATAATAATAAAAACTCAGAGGTGTGGCACTGCTCACTCCTTTGTGGTGACCTCGGGTGTTTGCCATGGCCCATCCTGGGGTGGCCCCACTGTGAGCCTCCCACCACCCCAGCAGTTCACAGTGGATCCATCCCAGGTGTGCCCTTAGTTGCTGAAATGCTTGATGGCACGGAGGAACTGAGACCAGTGTGGAGTTTGAACCTTTTAAACCTGGTCTGACGCCAGGGAGGGGAGAGAGAATCACTAACTCTCCTTGTCGGCCTACATGACCTCAGCTGAAGGTGACAAAATCATGGCTTGTTCTGATGCAGCGAAATCAAGTGGTTCACAGGGACAAGAGGGGATCTATGTGTGCCTCTTTAAACAAAAACAACAAAAAACCAAACCAAACCCAAACGGCGCCCTGGTGTCTTCATGAGCCTATGCAGCCCAGCCAGCTTGGGTTGCAGCTCCAAAACCACATCTGGAAGAGTGGGGTTGTGCAAGAGCCTCATTGTTTGGGTGAGTATCACACGTGGCTGTAGGTGTAGAACAAGTACCATGCAGTTCTTGATACATCTCCTGCCTTTGTCACTGCTGTGGGTGAAGAGGGTGCGCGATTAAATTGGGTGGAAGTCATGTTCCTGTGTGGTGCAAGGCAAGTCTTGCAAGAAAGGTTTAATATTTGCTTAAAACTTCTCCATGGGATGTGTTGTTCTGGCTGCATAGCAGAAAGTCACTGCTTACCCTAATCAGCCAAAAAGCCCCAAACTCAATTGAAAATTTCTTACGTTGTGAAAATGCACAAAGCTGGTCTTCTGTGGTCTCTTATTCTGTCACTGACTTAAAAAAATTGGAGTCAAAAAAGTGGGCATTCTGGTGTTAGTTTTGTCACTTGAAACTGAGTGGTTTTGGTAATGGTAACAGGTAGAAAAATGTGAAAGGTTTGCCCAGGATGTCTAACTTTTTTTCTTTCCATTTGCACATTATATACTTAAAGGTAGTCCATAGCTGCAACAATTTAGGGTTTGTTCCTAGTTTGAAAAGTGCACTGACAGTTTGTATCCTGAAATTGTTCTTCTCCTTTGGCTTTTCAGGCAGAATTCTGGATAAGGATCACTAGCATCACTGTCTAATGACCATGTGTTGATGAGGCATTTCCAAGTTGCACTGTTAATATATCTCTTTTACACCTACATCTTAAAACTCCATCCCAAACAAGTCACCTGTGTGAGAAAATACTCTTAGTTTTCATTAGCTGTAACATTCCTTGCTCAGAGTGTGTGGGGAAACCCTGTAATGCCACCTGGCACATGAGTGTTTCCTTTGAGTGAAGAGCCGATTTTATTTTATTTTTTTGACTCATTTGTCTGTTTTCACCCAACTATTCTTAGTGTCATGTTTGTCCTTCAAACAACTTACTTCTAAACAGCAACTTTAAAAAATACCTGATGGTCATTTGCTCAAGGTGGCTGCTTTTGAGAAGTCACTTAGTAAATGCTAATACAATTTCTTGAATGATATTTTGAGTAAATTCTGTTTAAAAGCATTGCAAGTGGAATTGCAGCTGAGCTGATATTTGGCTTCCCTTTGATAAACCATCCACAGGCTTCAAAGTTAAGACATTGAGGGGCCTTCTTCTGAGTGAATTTACAATGGTTGCTGTTCCAAATCCTTGCGTTCAGATGTTCAGTCTCCTGATGCTGTTTATGTTGATGTTCCCTTAAGTTGGTCATTTGCCATACAGAAAGCTTCCAAACTGTGGAGGAGACCAAGCGTGCTGATGATGAGACTCCATCAATTATAGAAAAGAGAAAAAAATTCCACACATGCACGAAAAGAAACCAAACCAAAAAAAACCCAGCCTCTCTTAGCTGTTATTATTTTGAGTGGTTGTGTGGTCCAGGTGATCTGGATTTGAGTTTTAATTGTGATTGACCCTTGGAAATGTGAATGTATGTGTGATTGTATATACACGTATATGTGCGTGTGTGTGTGAATTATCAAGTCTGTGGAGTTTTTCAGTAAATGTGTCAACTACTCAGCAGACTGGCACATACCCGTGTGGCTTTCATTGCTGCGTAGCAGAAATACAAGTAAATAAAATGATTTCTTGAAACACTTCTGACAGTGCAGGCCAAGAGAAGTGGTCTTTAGCTTTTCTTCTTGTGAACTCGGAAAAGTACGTAGAAGAGATGCTCTGATGCTCTCTGTGCAAGGCACAAAGTGTCCTGCATCTAACCTTTTTTTTTTAAAGTAAAATACTGCTTCCCTCTCCAGTTCAAGGCCAGAACCACTGCTGTGAGCACTTTGTAAGGGAGTGAAGGTACTCCAGGGGACAATTGCATTTCTCTTACTAGATCAGCAAGGTGTTTTTACAAGTGAAACTCTACAGGGGAGGCAGCAGTTTTGCTGTGTGGATTACGCATCCAGTTGGGTCTGAAGATTTTACAGTATTAAACTTCTGTGCATGTACTTATTGTAACATCAGTCAACTAGATTTGCATCTGTGTTTTTTTTCCCGCACCCTCCTCCACCCCACAGAGTTGTTTTCTGTAAACCCTTTGTAAATGACTATATTTCTTACCACTTCACAATCTGTAGCTGTGACTTCCTTTGGCATGTGTGAAAGAATAAGTGATGCTTGAATTGTAACATGAAAAATTGCTCTCTTATATTGCTCTTGTTTTTCAAAGTCAGGACATTCCAGGTTAGAGTGGGTTTAAATTTCCTCAAGCTTGGCAAGAAAAAGGCAATGTAAGTGGCTAGGGTTTGTGCATGTGTATATGCATCTTAAAAATGAAAAATATTAAATATATGAAGTCTGTATAAGAAGTAAGGAGAGCTCTCATTGGTAGTTCACAGAAGAACCAATTTCATACACTAAAAGATAGCTAGCTAATTTGGAGTTTGGGTTTACTTCTAGCCACCAATAAAACCACTTTTCACAGTGTTTTTATTTTACATAAAACACTTCAAGAATAAAAAAGTAGGAAGAATTGTGAATCTGTACATGTTGCAGGCTGCAGGTATTGCCAGTGCTATAAAACTTTTTAGTGTGAAAATGTTTCTGTTTGGCTTATTTTAGCCAAAGGTAGAATGTAAGGAATTTAAGTAGTAAGCAAGTTTATTGGCAAATTTAACAACTGTTTAAGCATTTTTAGGTTCTTTATATCTGTACATATTTAATTAGAACATTTATGGGAAGCTGCTGTCATGGACTTTTTGGTCTGTTTCTACTAGGGAAATGCCATTTAAGCAGGTATGGAACCTGTCTTGATATGAAGGCTCTAAGTCAAATAATACTTTGGGAAACAGCGTCCTTGTTTTCTGGTTTTGTATTTATTTTTGAGGGTTTGGGCATTTTGAAATTATTTTTGTTTTTAGGCTTTGTATTCTGAGCAGAACCTCCAAAGATATTCCAAGATAGATAAATCTTTGTTTCTCCTAATCTGATCTGGATGTTGGCTGACAACACTGCAGCTTTTCCAGACTAAAATGTACATGGTGAATCTGAGTTATGCTTATGCCATAAATCTCTGATTTGGCAAGACAGCCATAAAGCTGCTGTGATTCATACAGGTATGTCCCGGACATGGGCAAGCCATGTTGTTCCTTGCTGGTGTAGGAGAGTCTGGAGATGTTCGGGCAACACCTCTGCAGCGGTCTGCAGGTGCATATTCTGGACATGTTTTGAATGCAGTCTGCTGTATTTAAAGGCTGTTTTAAGAAATTAGATAAGGAATGTGTGTTTTAGTTTGAGGCTGGGAGTCAGATGAGCAGGGAGTTTGTTGAGATATGGGAATAGTAGCAAGGAATAAGGAGACGAAGCAATACCCTTGAAGACACATCTTTTCTAGTTAGTTCTGTTGTTGAGATAGACGTCTGAAACATATTTGACCTTGCAGGTTTCATTTAGCTCTGCTTTGAAGGAAGTGAGCAATGTATGAGATTCCCCCAGTAGCCTAAATTCTTGCAGTTCAAAAGGAAAACAAACTCTTCCTTCTTGTGACAAGCTTGGCTTGCTTTTGAAGCATTTTGAACTAAAAATAAAAGCTGCAAGAAGGTAAAACCATAGTAAAATCTTACTTCTATCCTCCAACCAGTTGGAATTTTCGAGACTTGCTGGCTTTATTCTTCATTGGTTTCCTTGCCAGTGGTGGGGCCTTTCCATGCATCAATAAGATGATTGATGTTGAGATGCATTTTGAGTTTGTGGTTGAGATGCTGTTGAGTGGATGTGACTTTGCTGCATTTGAAACTTAGATGAAGCCATGTGACTCTGAATTCATCTTGTGAACAAACACAGACTGTCAAAAAAGGGGAAAAAAACCCCTGAAACAAAAAACCACTCCCCAAAATAAAACCTAACACAGAAACTTGGCTCAGTTCTGGTCAAGCTGAAATACATGTTGGGAAAAATGTTTGTAGCATTGACTGACACATTGAAAAATGCAACTTACTGGTCTGGATTTGAAGGATAATGCATTTTGTACAGAAGAGAATTTATACT